ATTAGGTTTCCCGTTCTGAATCGATCGGCACCATGATCTATACAATTGCTGTACGAGATCAAGGCATATTGAAATAGCAAACGAGATGATTTTAATTCAGTTCAGTCATCGTCGTCGTCTTCGTACCTCCAACTACTTTTTTAGATAACAGATGGCACTGATTACAACACGTAGTTGAGACTTTTGTCAAAGCTTACGAAATTCCTACATGATTCAACTTCTTTCTAAATGAATTTCATTCTACATTTAAGAATCTACTTTCCTTTCAAATTTATATATATTTTTGTGTTTTTAAAAAAAATCAATTTATAAATTACATTTATATGGCTTTTAAGATTTTCGACAACGCAATATGTTTATCTGATTAGTGACATTGCAATGTATTTATACTACTGTTTGTTATTAAGCTTTTACCGTGATTATTTTTGACGAGTTATTTTTAATATGCTTTCTATAGAAAATTGTTTTTTCAATTTTCTATTGAAAATTGTTTTGTACCAAATTTATATCAAGAAATGCACGGACCCGCCAAGTAGTACTCGATAAGGAATCACCTAAAGTTTTATTAATTATTAAATCACCATTAAATCATAATTAAATACGGGAAGCAGTAGTAACATAAAAAAGTAGCGAAAACGTTATAGGAAATATTGAAAATATAATTAAAATGATGGGCCAGTGCTAGATCATATAATAGGAAAACATGTAGTGACTTATGTACTTGGCCTCAATAATATGATATCAATACTTTTTGTTAGAGGAATTCACAGCAATCCTGTACTTGGCGTAGTTTTTTACACGTAAGTGTTTTTTGGGGGATTAAGCTTTTACCGTGATTATTTTTGACGAGTTATTGGTAATATGCTTTCTATAGAAAATTGGTACTGGTTTTGTACCAAATTTATATCAAGAAATGCACGGACCCGCCAAGTAGTACTCGATAAGGAATCACATAAAGTTTTATTAATTATTAAATCACCATTAAACCATAATTAAATACGGGAAGCAGCAGTAACATAAAAGATTATGTACTTGGCCTCAATAATATGATATCATTACTTTTTGTTAGAGGAATTCACAGCAATCCTGTACTTGGCGTAGTTTTTTACACGTAAGTGTTTTTTGGGGGATCTACACTCAACGCCCCCACCACGTCCTCCTCACCACTATACCTATCTACTCTCAACGGCACTACCTATGGAAGACACTATATAAAAATAGGTCTGAATGAAAGAGTAGGCTTGTGTAGTTTCGGGAGAGCATACATACGTGCAATTACTGAATTGTTGGTGGTAAGATATTTTTTAGTATTGTCGTGTATATATTGTTTTCTAGATAGTTCCTTGATTAGTTTGTTATTAGATTCCTGTATTGTGTTAGTAGGATCTCTTAAAACTTCTTTGTAAGTACTCACATCCCTAAGTATGTCAGTGACAGAGTGTATGTAAGATGTTTTGTCTACTGCTACAGTGATGTTTCCTTTGTCAGCTTTGGTGATCATTATGTCAGTGTTATTAGTTAGAAATTCTTTTACTGTTTTAGGTTCATTGACTTTTCTGTTATCTAAATTATTATGTTGTATGAAATTTTGTAAAGTATAGGTAGTTCTGTTTCTTACTTCAGTTCTATGTTCAGGATCTATTAACCTAATACCATTTTCTATGTTTGTAATTATATTCTCAATTGAGAGATTCTTACTGTTGTACGGAAAACTGTTTTTCACCTAGTGTCAAAATGTTTGAGACTGTCTGTGGAATTTCTGTGTTAGTGAGATTTTTAAACCATTTTTTCCTGTTATCTAGACATGTAATATTGTGCGAGTTCAAAGTATTAACCAGATGATTGAATTTAGTGATTTGTTTTGCTCTGATTTTGTAAGAAAGTTGTCTTTGAAATTGATTCTCTATTATTAAGAATCTATCTAAAATGTGTTCAGGTATAAGAAGTCTCATTTCACATTCTCTGTTGTGTTGTGTAATTTTTAACCTGTAGATGTTTGTGTTAATATCTCTAATTTCTATGTTCAAAATCCTGCTTCTGGTCTGTATTAAAATGTTATCAAAACTGCGTATATCTGTGTAATTGTTGAAATGAAAATTTTTTTCTTTGGCTGGAAACCTGGTCAACAATCCTCACTTCCAAATTATACATGACCAGCCGACATTTTCAACATTTCAATTATTTTTATGCCCAAGATTTATAAGTGTATTTTTGTTTTTGGTAATTTTCCGTAATACCTTCTTTATCCGTCTAAATATTATTTATGCTATTAAAACATGAAACAGCGTAACATAGGTGTTTGTCACAGGTAGGGTCTCGGGAAGAAGAAACGTTCGCTGTTTGATGTACCAATTTATTGCATGTATACGATGTAATATAATACAATATTTGTAGACTAATATAATCATATATTTAATGAATCTTAAGTTAACTAGGTGAACCAATAAGCATAGTTGATAATTAAGAAAAAAAAAGGGATGAGATGTGAGTTCCGAACTCGAGATTCTCGGACGTTAACCCAGCACCAAGCACGTACGCTACCGAGCCATTGTGCTGTAGAAATTGGAAACTTTATATTTCTGTAGTTACCCACGTTCGAGGGTTTGTTTAAAGTTTTATTTGCTCACTCTATTATTTACAAAGCTTCATATGGATATTAAGGGAATTAACATCGGCAAAATTTACTACCTCATTACTACGGTTTATGTAATATGCAGTAAGAAAGGGTGGATTTCTTCCTTCCTTTCCTTATGGCTGACTCCTCCAATGAGATGTGCCAGAAAGGGTGGATTCAAGTCTCCCTACTTGAGTGTTCACCCGGTTTAAAATCGTGGATCTCGAGGAACACACGAATTCATTCGACCAATCAAAAACATGGAACTAGTTCGAGAGTCTCGTTCAGGTGGCGCGTCGACGCGCCAAAACACAGCTCCAGATTATCACGCGTAGTATTACTATATATACACGACCAATCAAAAACGTGGAACTGCTTCGAGGGCCCTCTGCTATGGTGGCGCGCCGAAACCAGAGAAAAATTGAGACCACCAAAATCAGGCTCATTGGCAATCTCCCTACTCATCTCTGTTGAAACGAACGTGGTGGGGGTGGGTCGCATAGTGAAGCAATTCCGAATAGCTGCATAGAGTCGCTGTGATCGGATAACCCGTATGCACGAGGGACGCGGGGGGCCGGAAGGATCACTCCATCTCTGTCCTATTCGTGGTTTCCACGATGGTATCGCTTGAATGTTGACTGTAAGTAGATACGCGAAACAGTTTATAATGTCTAGCAAAAAGCGTAAATGCCGATAGACTGACTCGATGTGATGAAATACATATACCTATAATCCCAATAAAATCTTAATTACTCTAAATCCAAATAAATGCGAAAAACATGAATGATTTTGAAACTTTTATTTTCTCCGTTTCAATTTTTCCAAATTCTTATTATTTGTTTTGCAGGTTTCCAGTTTCTGATGCAGGTAAGTACGGATAATTATCAACTATTGCTTTTTTCCAATTTTCACAGGTTTGTTTTTCGATCACTATAAAACGTAGGTAGGTAAAATAAAAATAATTCTTTAAATTTTATCTATTTTATTTAAATTTTCGCAGCATTGCAGGTATTCGAAACAGATAGTGACGCTTTGACACATTTACACTACTTATTTATTAGTAAATTTGGCGAGTTTTTTCTTTACAACAAACTTCTTTGTCTGTTTCAGATTCTCCTGGTGAGCGTTTTGCCTCATTCTTAATCTAATGTAGTATACTAACGCATAGGACAGAATTTCGGATGCGTGCTCTTTACAGGGAAATATGAAGGAGTACGTATTAAGAACTTCATCGAGGGTACCATCGAAGACGTCAACGCGAGAGGAATACTTTGCAAATGACGCCTCTACACGGCGAATGAGATGGAAAAAATGGTGATTCTCAGGAGTAAGCGAGTCTATTACGGAGGTTTCACAAGTCGAAACGTCCATGGGAGAGAGTGACAACCCAATCTCTATGCGATTGACTGGTGAAGGAACACGAGCGAGATCTGTAATATCAAGGGAATAAATTTATGTTTATTCTTTGAAGTCCATTGCATTATTTTCCAATGATGCGATAAATCGTGCTTGCTCCAGAAAACTCACCTGCAGAAGTACTGGTTTCTGGAATTACATTCCTTTGCGCATGTGACATTTGCTTTGCATATGCATGATTGCTATATTCCAAACGTCCCAACAAATCTGCTACGAGACGTTCATCTCTGTTAAGATTGAAAGCCTCTACAATAGTAAGTATTAATGACCATTTCTTTTTCAGGAGTTGCACCTTTAATAATCGTACGTATATATGTCATTTGATATAGAATTTTTTCAGGAGCTTATTTTTACAGAACTTTCAAAGTAACAAATATGCGTAACGTTTTGCATTTTCAGTATGATGAATAAAAATAGTAATAATTCTTTTGTTCCTTATTTTTCAACACTTGGCTATGATAATAGTTTTACTTACGTTCCCTGTTCTCAAAAGATGAATATCCATTCGAAGCCCTCTGAGAAAGCAATGGATTGTCTCCCAGATGATCGCAGCTCGATACTGACATGGATGAAGATGACATTCCAGTATTTTGAACAGCGAGTGGAACTCGATTAATATCTGCAATGAAAACTTAAGCAATGTATGTCTCTATCACCTACATTCCATATCTTTGTATAACAATATAATAAATATTTCCTGTTTAAGGAAACTTACCAGTGTACACACTGAACCCTTGAAGTGGCAATTTCATGGGAAATGAAAACATTGCTCCAATTCAACCATTGTTCTGATCAACAACACTGGAAGAATCTAGTTGCGATGGCTCACAGTTCTCCTTGTCATCATGAAATCTTGTTGGCACAGCAAGCTTTTTGAGCTGTGGAGACTCGTACGAAATCTTTGATGAAAAAACAGATTATTTGAAGACAAATATTTTGAAATTGCATGTGGAATTTTTTTATTTAACTTACTCGTGCAATAACTCGGCCATTCGCGTCGAACTTGACCCATTCGCAAGCAATATCCTCCTCGTTAAAATGTTTCTCACACACAATATCACTCTGCTGCAACTTTACGATGCCCGGTATTGCTTGTTCCCACTTTTTCCAGGTCGTAATATCTTTCGGCACACGGAATACGGAACGTTTCTCTGCCGTTCTGCTGCCGGTTCTACATCCTGGTACCGCACACCACTTTTCCATTTTGAAGCACTCACTTCCTAGTTCATAGTCTGCACGATTGCAGGTTATGTTCATCTGCGGAACCCGATCACAGCGCCGCTTGTTTGGAACTAAATTCTACCTCAGTAAGTGACCATACCCCCACCACTGAAATTCGAGGTCGTTTCAAGACTTGTATGTAAGACCGTGTCCCGGATTACTTATCTCTTGTGATCTTTATTGTATCGATAACGAGCCTAGAGCTCGTGGTGCTCCTTTGAGGGTATCTGGCGCCCAACCACCTTTTCGAGTTTGCCGAGACCACTTACGCTCCCGATTTCCGTTTGGTAAAGTTCAGTTTTGTAGACAGATCATATCGTTGCATTACATTACAAGAAACTCGGCAGCAGCCGAAAGTAATTTACTAAGGAGAATAGTATTAAATTATTACGTTATAATTTTTATAATACTAAAACATTATCCTACGGAAAAATTTTCATTTTTATATGGTGAAAAATCAAATAATACAAGATCTATTAGTTTACTGCAGCTTCATTGGCTGAAAGTGCAAGCTTTATTGAAGATTTCTATTTTAGCAAGTTTGTAAATAGATGCAAACTTGAACACAACTCACAATTACAAGTCATTATGAATATAAAGTAAAAGATTCTTTTTAAATTTCATTTAATGAATAAATAAAACAAATTTGTTAATATGTTCCACAAAAACATTTTTATAAGAGCATTCTGGGTAAATAAAGAATATGCTCAGTGGCTAATCATGTTGTACTTTTTGCATAGCTTAATTACAACATATGTAAATCATAAATCATAATTTGGTATTTTAGGTATAGAGTATTTCTAAACCCTAGTTACTTTGCACCAAAAGATCCTTGATCTTACAATTCTGTGTGTTCATGATGTTGACTTTTGAAGTCACTGGGATGAATGAAGAGACCTTCAACTGATTGCCATTGCACATGGCTGCCTGATACGGAATAATCTCCTACAACTTCAATTTGACCACTGATTGGAGTGCTGTAAGTTCTACCACTTACCGCCAAATACCTGAAAAATGAAAATAAAGCAAAGGTAAATAATATTTTTAATTCTCTTAAGATTATTATTTAGTGAGTTCTTATAAATAGAAACTTGCTATACATACACAACATGATAACATTAGAGTCAAGAATATCTTATAGGTATATAGTTATTCTCCATCATTTATTTTCTAAAATATTGGTGCTCTTGAATTTTTTATCTGATAAAAAAAAAGTTGGGTGCACCCGCTTAAACATGCCCTCATAAACTAGTCCATCTAAACCGTGAGAGCTCCGATGCCAGAAATATTGACTTAAACAATAATGTACGGAAATGAACCAGACATAAGAGCAATGTCCGTTATAATTCAAGTTAAAAAATTACACTTTCTATTTGAAGTTTTTAAGGACATTCGTTGATCCACAAGCAAGTTAAACCCATTCCCACCCCTTTTAAACTTCCGACTATCTGCCCGCTTGATGGCAGATGCAGGAAAGGATTGTTTCCTTCTGTAACATTTTGTATCAAATACAAGATGTAAAAGTACCAACATCTTGATATTATAATAAAAATTGGAGGTGAATAACAGCATTATAATTTACATTTTCCAACCGCATTGACCTCTGTGTACATACATGAGCCATACTGCTATTTTTTAGAATTGGTTGAACACCATTTAATTAAAGATTCTTACGCATCAGTGTCAATGTGTTTTAACATCACAGGTTCATTCCTTTCCCAGAATTCATTTTCACAAACTACAAGCCAGTGATCACCACTATCACCTTCTCCTTTATTTCCATATGCAGAAACTTCCTGTTTTCCGCTTAGTGGAGATCTTACATGATGTGAATGCAAGTTTTTTTTAGTTGAAACATGTTCTAACCGAATTATATCTCCACATTTCAATGGCTTCCTATGAATATAACATATTTATTAATATGTATTTATTATATTTATGCTAACAATTATCACTTTCTTATTCTAATTTACCCTCGTATACAGTGATTTCCAGTTTCAGCCTTAACTAGCCAATAAGAATTTCCATCATCTTTAACTTCCGTGCCTGTTACAGATTGTTGTCCACTACCTCCTCCATATTTTATATCATGTGAATGCAGTCGTACGTTATGATCAATATTCATTAACTTGACAATTGAACCACAGGTCACATATCTGGTTCCTTTAGCTATAAATATGAAACAACTGTATTATGAACTACACTAATTAAAAGTTATTTAAAAAAATATATGCTAATATCTTAGTTAAAAGTAACTTAAGACTAGCTTATTTAACTTTTAGAAAACAAGCAGATTTTTTTCAACTTTTATGGTTTTTGACTTGGAGCTTTAATATATATATATGCCAAAGTATATGAGAATATTGTACTGTATATTGTATGGGAAAAAAAGAGACTAATATAAAATCAAGAAATCTACTTTCTGTTTTCTACAGGTTAAAGTAATACATACGAGGATATTATACGTGACTGAATTGACAATGGGATATATAATTCTTTAATTATTTAAAAATTATGAAGCAATATTGTTTTTAAACATGGTTTAGTTTCAAAAAATTGATAAACATGCATTTCCTATGGTTTAGAGTTTAATTCTCTCATAGAAACTAATTTTCTAATAATTATACAATTATTTAATTAAACTAAGTCTCTATATCTTTACTTTACCATTTATGAACTTCGTGTGTGATAATAATAGGATGAAAAATATAAAATATACTTGGATAAAGTAACCACTAAACCATTTCGCAGCCATTTTTAAAGGAACTAGCAGTTCAAAACGTGTTGTTCTGTTATTGGTAAATGGTTCTTCCCCTTTTATTTCCTTAATAAAGTCTCGTTACCTCACTTTCCAAAAAGTGAAATTCTTATTGGATGATATTTTTAAGTAACCAATGAGAATATGCACTTCTTGAAAAGTACAGAAAGATAATGAGACAAACCTCTATTAGGTCCGTTCGTGCAAGCGATTTTACGTGCTCCGGAGCACTACAGGTGTGTTCGAAAATGATCCAAGAGCAGTGAGAGCATGTGGTGTCTCGATCAAATACGTGCAATAAACAGAGAAGCAAGGATGCAGCCTCTGTTCTCACCTCATTTTCGAACATAATTATAGTGGTCTGGGGTCGATTGTGTATATATTGTAACGAAAATGAATTTTCGTTAGTAGGAACCATTCGGGAGGGGTTTGGTAAGCAGCTGGCGTAGCTCAGTGGTCAGAGCAGTCGACCAGTGATCGAAAATACTACATGGCGGGTCCGTGCCAAAAATTCCAAAGTACTTACGTTGAACGTACTAATAGTATTCTAATACCATATGTTTGTTATTAAGCTTTTACCGTGATTATTATTGACGAGTTATTGTTAATATGCTCTATATAGAAAGTTGATATTGGTTTTGAGTTTAATGACTGGCATAATTTATATAAAGAAATGGACGGACCCGCCAAGTAGTACTCGATAAGGAATCACCTAAAGTTTTATTAATTATTAAATGACCATCAAATCATAATCAACTACGGGAAGCAGTAGTAATGTAAAAGAGTAGTGAAAACGTTATAAGAAATTTTGAAAATACAATTAAATTGATGAGCCAGTGCTAGATCATATAATAAGAAAATATGTAGTGACTTATGTACTTGGCCCCAATAATCTGATATCAATACTTTTTATTAGAGGAATGCACAGCACTCCTGTACTTGGCGTAGTTTTTTACACGTAAGTGTTTTTTGGGGGATATCACAAGTTTTTGTTGCTCAACGGGACATAGAAGATCTAAGCACTGAAATATATATTGTCACAGATATAAAATGTAAATGCATTATGATGTTGCTGATCAGAAAATATATTGCGTTGTTGAAAATGTTTAATGGCATATAAATTTAATTTGTAAGTCCCTTTTTCTAGGAATGCATAAAGGCATATACAAATTTTTAAAGAAAATGTAATCTTTAATGCATATAAGCGTCGTTAATGGTGTCCAGCTTGTTGAAGCCGTGCGAACATCAGAGAGGATACTATAGTTTGAGCGAAGCGCCAAAGCTTGTTGCACACTTTTGTGGACTTCTACGTTTGACACCTAGATACAAGAAACTACGGAGCGGAACACCTGGACACCCTGAACTTCCACATCCGACACCTAGATGTAGGAAACTACGGAGCGGAACACCTGGACAAACTGTCACCTAAAATACGAGAACTATGCCGAAGCACACATATACATACACCCATATACGCGCGTTCCACATGAATGCTATTAAAAACTGAATAATTCTATACTGTTGTGAAAGCACCCTTATACTAACTGGAAATTCGGTATGAACGGTAGCTTCACGTATAAAGTGTATTTGATTGTGTTGTGTATTCGTAAATTACTAACACTTGTACAAATAGGTAAAGAAGGCACAGCAGTCAGCGCCATCTGTCGTGTAAGAAATGCGATGGACGTGCGAAGACGACGACGACGACGACGGAACTGAAATAAAATCATCTCGCTCGCCATCTCAATACGCCCTGATCTCGTATACTTATCATATTGAACGTGGTGGCAATCAATTCAGGACCCTCAATCCCTATAGTGAATGTATCAATAACTTTTTCTCATGTATAGTGGTTAATAAGATATTTCGTTCCAAACACAGGTATAAGAGTTGACTCAAGTAAAGAGTCTCAGCGAGCTGTGCCCTGTACAGCCGGTTGCCTGTACTTGGCGCGAGACTCGACCGAGTCTCTTGACATAACTACGGAAGCCCGGTAGTGATATCTGATTTTTTACTCGGTAAGTCTGAACTTCTTCATGCTGACACTCTTTGTCTTCCTATTTTTCATTACTATGCATCTTCTGACACATTGTGTCTGCATCATCAACAAATAGTACTGGACAGGGGTGGGACACTCCAAATGGGCTATAGGAAAGCATAGAATACTTATACAACCTACCCATCAGATGGCGTTGCGGCTCGTGCTAACAGTCTAAAGCACGGGAGTGCCGTGTCTCCAATAAGTGGTCTGTGGTAGTAGACTGCTCACTGTTGCCGCAGAAAGTGTAACCGGGAATAGAAAGAGAGAATATCGTAAGGACCGTTCTGTCCTTTTCTATTGGTCGAAAGTTTTCTGGATGGAAGGGGTTCAGGACTGTAATATGCAAAATAAGAACCATATGCAAAATTACTTCGCACATCTGTAATGTATGTACGTTGTTACAGTCGAATCATGGGTTTAGTTTCCACCGTGCAGGGTTTGAATAGAGTTAAGCAGCCTCATTGGTTAATTCCATTCAACTCCTATACCTGATTAGTTAACTCTATTTAAACTCTGTACGGTGGAAACTAAGCCATGGAGATAGAAGTGTTTATCAATCTAGCATATCTCCTCGTTAGAGGAGTCAGCCATAAGGAAAGGAAAGAAAGTAAGTGTTTATCAGAATTCAATATTACTAAAAAAAATGGTGATTCGCTGTCTTAAGTGTGGACTATCGTGAGACCTGTATTTTGAGCCCAATACGATAAGCTTTCACAAGTAAAGTAGAAATATAACCTTAAATTTTATGGTTAACATAAGATTAATATACATTTTACTGCGTAAGGTTCCCTTATTCCTGATTCCACTCCTGCCCAAGAAAAGGACAGAACGGTCCTTACAATTTACTCTCTCTTTCTATTTTCCGGTTACACTTTCTGCGGCTACAGTGAGCAGTCCAGTTCAGACGTACCGAGTAAGAAATCAGATGTCACTACCGAGCTTCCGTACATAACTGTTAAAGAAGTTAATAAATTTATAATATATAAATTTAAATATATATTATAATATATAATTAAATATATATTTATAATATATAATTTATAATAATTTATATTAATAATAAGTTAATAAAATAAAGAAGTTAATAATAAAATATATTCGATTCTGATTATTAAAAAATATTTGAAGAATTTTCATTCAACTGTAATGCAATCATTTATTTTATGACTGAAAATTACAATACATGTATAGAAATTGTTTCTTGCTAAAGACAGGTATATTGTGATATTACTGTTCGATGACTTCACTTTCAATATACAAGCAGAGATGATTGTGCTAATTTGGATGGAAAACACTTTGAAATACTAGACATTTACAACCGTTCTTCTTTCATTTACATCCGGAGCTTAATAATTCTTATAAATTTTAGCATTATTGGTTTTCTCGTTTGAAATTTTGGTCACAATATTTGGCGTACAAACGCAGCCACACATCCCCCCCTTTTTTTAATGAGGAATACATAACCCCTTCCCCTCATATGGTTTATGTGGTCGTGCTTAAAAACGAAAAACACCATAAATGTGGCTTATTTCAACGGTACGTTCATTACAGGAATTTTAATAAATACCGCTTTATGCACTTGTGTCCATTACATAACATGAGTTACCCAAAAATACCACGTGACAAATTTGTACAATTATTGAGGGTGGAATATTTCTTTATGTTTGGTGTAATGCACGTATGTCTGTAGTCTATGATAGCCTAAAATATAATGGTACAGTATAATAATAATTTTTGATCCAGTTACGCGAGGTTTTGAAGGGCTCTGGCGTGCTGCCACCCTCGTTTATCTGACGTCACTGACTTCGCCATCTTGAATTTCTGAGATCTGTACGTTTTTCCCGAGAGTAAGCGAAAATTGTCAACATTTTCTGTGGATCATAAATGGGCTATCGCTGAACGACGACGTGAAAATGTCGGATGCAGATTTGCTCACCGCTGAATCGAAAAATAGCGGGCTCGAACTTTACTTGTCAGGTTAGACTGTCATCCAGTTTTTTTTCGTTGGACGAAAGAAATTCCGTTCTATGACTCTACATATAATTTCGCCAGACATCCAATATTTGGCAGCAAGTTGCTTTACGTCATAATAATGACAAATTACAATGGAAATAGAATTTTTGTAGAATGGTTAAACGATATATCACGTCATATACATATACTTACGACACGTGATGATCAACTGTCAGTATTTATTAGATATAATAATGGCTATGTTATAATTTGCAAAGTATTACTTTGATATGCTTGTATATTCATTTGCTGTTATAATCACACCTAGTGTGCGATTGAAAATAAAACAATGAATTCAGATCTATATTGGGTATTAAATTAATTGATTTGTGAGTTAAATGATCCTGCCACATACTCAGTGTCTGTAATTAAATTCCTTTTGTAATCTTTGATAGTTAATTTAATGCATTTTTTCATCTAATTGTATTGGGAATAACAAATTTAGTTATATTGTTTATCCGATCCAAAGAATGACACTTCCATCAGAATTCTGTGAAAATTATCTTTCTTCAAATAGTGTACTGTATATATAACTATGTCAGTCGATGCCAGGTTATATTACATTAATTAATTAAACGATATAATCAATTTTCAGCTTGTAATATTTGTGGTCAGAGTCATGATACACACGACTGCCCTTTTTTACTCGATTTGCATTATGTAAGTGGTAATAATTTTACTTTTTATATGACATATTTTGCATGTTATAAAATATTATATTTCACAGGTTACTGATATGCCAGTACTGTCTCGTGCAAGACAAACTCTTCCCAAAGATTTGGAAATTACTCGAATGGCAGATGGTTCAACCACAGTAATCACAAATGTTGATCTTCCAAGAGGCACAACCTTCGGTCCTCTGTGTGCTAAAAGAAACTGGACAATGAATCCACTAACCAATTTTCCAATCAGAGTATTTGGAAATATAGCTGCTGAAACGTATCATTTGGATTGCTCAAATGAGAACAATTCCAATTGGATGCGTTTTATTGTTCCTGCATCTAATGCAAAGGAACAAAATCTTATTTGCTATCAGGTACACAGATGAACATATTTTTTAAATTTATTTTCTTCTGGATCATATTACTTTGGATACTCTGTTTTTGTATCTCAAAAGATGTACAACAGATGTTGATATGTAATAATAATAATAATAATAATAATATTTTCAGGTGAAGCAAGATATATTTTATACCGCCATGTGTATGATTCCAAATGGTGAAGAATTGCGGGTTTGGTATGCACCATATTATGCACTGAAAATGAAAATGCCGTTATACAATATGGATTTTGCAAACATCAGTGCTACTCTACCAGATTCAGATATGCAGCAAATCGTCAAAGCTAAATCTGATGGAGACCAAATAGGATTATTAAGTAAAATTTAATATTGCACAATTATTGTGGAAGCTTGGAAAACATAACTTCTTTTCGTTTTTCTAGACAAAGATGTTGCGCAAGAATTAGCAGAGAAACTGCCAGCTCAACATTTGGGGGCTCGCGATGATAAAGCAAGATGGAACTGCAGAATATGTTCAACAGTTATTTGCTCAGTTGTTTTATATGCCAAACATTTAATGGAACATTATAAACCATTACTTGGGGTTTATTGTAATATGTGCAATAAGAAATTTAACAATGTTTCAGTAAGTTAATTGAACGGTATAAGTATCTCCAAGGTTTTTCAATTTAATTATTTGATTAATTAATCTTGTTAATAAATGAAAATGATATTGCGGTCATCAGGCTTTAGAGCGGCATAAAAACATGAAGCACCCAGAGGAAACATCAAACGAAGGAGTTATCGGTATTCCAACTTCTGAAAGTCAACAACAACAAAATGCACAGGTACATGGTCGTAATTAGAATTTTGATAAACTCCGGGACTATTTGGTTATAGATATCACAATATCGTAATATATTTACAGACAATATTTCTTAATATGAACGATTCCGACGGTCAAACATCAGATGCCATGAGAGACATTTTAGAAAAATTTAAAGCTGGAAAGGCTATAACGGAAAATAGTCTGTATTTGTCTTCATTACCAAATGATAAAGAGCATCATGCTGATCTTCCACTGTTGGATACGAATTCTATAATTGTTAACGATTTACTGCAAAATAATGGATCTCTTATTGAAAATTCTTCTCTAAAATCAATTTTAGAAAATCAGTGTCTTAATATGAATCTCGGATTGAATAGTATTGCAGATTCAATGCTATCAGAAAATATATCTGCTGTTGATTCTGTTAAATTTAATGTTGAAGAATTAGCATCGGAGCTTTTGGATATTGTTCCAGATGTTGACAATATCAACAAAAAGATAGATAATTTGGAATGTGACATTTGTGACAAAAAGTTTGAGAAAGTGGATTACCTCTATCGTCATTTAAGAAAACATACTGGCGAATTTATTTGTCCTTCCTGTTTGGCTGTAAGTATTTTTTTTTTTTTTTTAAATAGAAATATAGTGTTAATTATATCCTTCGTTATAGTCGTTAACAATGTTTTTCCTAGGTTTTCGCTCGAAAAGAAAATCTGCTTTCACATACGTGTTTTTCAAAAAAATTAGACTATCATTATGAGTGCCCATATTGTCAAAAACCATTTATGTTAAAAAAATATTTAAAGAGACATATGGTGAAACACACAGGTATCAAAGTTGGATTATGAAATTTTTTACATATTTGTTTATGTAGCCCTCTAACAGTGAGGTCTTCTATTTTTTTTTTAGAATGGAATAATTGTAGATGGTGCCATCATGCGTTTACTTCACAATCGGAATTACAAGAACATAAATGTCTGGCACCAAAACATGTATGTCTGCAGTGTGGAAAACGTTTCGTGCACAGAGCACATTTAAATCGCCATGTCAAGCTTCATAATGATCCAAAACCGGTCACGAAACGAATCAGAAAGAAGCAACCAGATAAACCAGTCATTTGTGAAAAGTGCGGGGATGTTTTTAAAAATCCTTACAGTTTAAAACAACATTTACGTTCTCATGGTAAGAATACATTTGAAAAAAGTGTTAGAAATGAGATATTCTTGCACGTTCCATATATTCGTGCCTAAAAATTACTTGACCATTGTATGGATAATACTTTGCATTTCAGGAGAAAGAATGTTTGAATGTGATGTATGTCACAGACGCTTTCATCGTGTAGGAGTATTAAAAGAACATAAAACTATACATCAAAGTGCGCAAATTCCATGCAATATTTGCGGGAAAAAATTGAAAAGTAAAAAAGCTTTAGACATTCACATGCTCCTTCATGGGAACAAGAAATATCAGTGTGACAAGTGTGATAAGGTAAGGATTAGAAAATAGTATTGTCGAGATTTCAAACAGTACACCATAATAGGAAGCAGCATGCAAAAAAGTTAATTGCTGGTAAACATATTCTAGGGGTTGAACCCCTTGAAAGATGGTGATTTTTAATTTTTCGTTTACCATGCAAGACAATAAATTGTGAAAATGTTAGGCTTTTCACACTTTATAAATCAGACGGCACTTCGAGCACTGACGCCTCTGGCATAGACCATTTGAGAGGTCCTCCCCTCCCCCTCTTTTTTCTCTCCCCCTTCCTGTCTCCTTCCCTTCCTCCCTTTAGCTATGTGTATTCTGGATGGTGTTGGTAATTTACTAATACATACATAACAATCAAATACATTTTGTACGTGAAGCTACCGTTCACACCCAATTTTCAATTAATATAAGGCCGCTTTCACAATAGTATAGAATTATAAGTCTTTAACTTGTACGAAAAGCATAGCAACATGTATATGGAACGCGCGTGGTGGGTGTCCTATATATTTGCTCGACAAAGCGTCTATTTCAGATGATAGTTTTTGGAGATATAGGATGTCCAGATGTTCCGCTCCGTAGTTTCTTGTATCTAGGAACTGAATGTGGAAGTCCAGGGTGTCCAGGTGTTCTGCTCCATAGTTTCTTGTATCTAGGTGTCGGACGTGTAAGTCCAGGGTGTCGAGAAAAGTGTGCAATGCGCGACGCTTTGGCGTTTCACTCAAACCATAGTATCCTCTCTGTTGGTCCTACGGCCTGAGGTACGTAAATAATCCAGCACATTCTCGTCTCTTACGTTTACCACACGGCTTCAACAAGCTGGACACCATTAATGACGCTTGAATGCATTCAAGATTACATTTTCTTTAAGAATTGGTATATATTTTTATGCACTTTCTAAGAAAATGGACTTACAAATTAAATTTATATGTCATTAAACATTTTCGACACCGCAATATATTTTTATTTTCTCATAGAGGAAGCTATGTGACGGTGGAAAATTTGTCTGTCGAGATTTTCATGTCACCATGTTCACAATGTGCTAAAACGTCGAGAAACCACGTTTGGAGAAAATGTCCGGATGTATATGTGTGCGTGCGTGCGTGCGTGTAATGGCCTCCTAAGATTCAAACATGTATAACTCGAGAACGGTTTCAGCTACAGCCCCCAAATTTTGGAGGCATATGCAGCTCTATAATACCTTCATTGACTATAATTTTTGTCATAATTCAAGCTGCGGCTCGGATTTTATGTAGTTTTCAATTTCCACAAAAAATGAGGTTATCACTCTAGCGATCGCAAATTTTGTGATAGTCGTCTAAATAGTTCTTGACAAAGAGATTTGTATCCAAGGTTAATTGGTATTGCATTTGGGCCGAATCCATCGAGAAGTTTTGATTTTATGTTTTGAATTTTGTTGAAAAATTAAATTTATCAATATAACTCACGTCAACTTTGACCGATTGAGTTCCAATTTTCCAAAATTATAGAACATCATTTAGCTGTGATATGTATGAAATTTGGCGGAGATCGGTTAAATAGATCTGATTATACATATATTCAAGTTTTTGAATTTCAGTCGATTCAAAAATATTAGGCCCGAAGAGATAATGCAAGAAATTTATCCTTACATGCGTTCTCTACAGTAAGAAGCACTTAAAGTTGTGAGAGGCATGGGGACTAACGTTGAACAAGCTGCAAGTTGAAACTTACAATTTGCTTCCTCCGAATCGTAAGTAGTGTACGAAGTCCCTATATGAGGAAGCCAAGAATTTAAATTTAGCAATTTGCTTCCTGTGAATCGTCGGTAGTAGATGAAGATTCATCTATGGGGAAGCCGAAGATTAAAAAAAAATGAAAATGCTTTTACATATAGGGACTTCGTACACTACTTACGATACGAAGGAAGCAAATTGCAAGTTAGCCAAGAATTTACAAGCTGCAAGTTGAAACTTACAATTTGCTTCCTCCGAATCGTAAGTAGTGTACGAAGTCCCTATATGAGGAAGCCAAGAATTTAAATTTAGCAATTTGCTTCCTGTGAATCGTCGGTAGTAGATGAAGATTCATCTATGGGGAAGCCGAAGATTAAAAAAAAATGAAAATGCTTTTACATATAGGGACTTCGTACACTACTTACGATACGAAGGAAGCAAATTGCAAGTTTCAACTTGCAGCTTGTTCTGATTAGCGACATCACAATGCATTTACATTTTATATCTGTAAAAATGTATATTTCAGTGTTTAGAGCTTCTATATCCCGTTGAGAAACAAAAACTTGTGAAATCCCCAAAAAAAAAACACGTGTAAAAAATTACGCCAAGTACAGGAGTGCTATCAATTCCTCTAACAAAAAATATTGAAGTCATATTATTGAGGCCAAGTATATGAGTCACTACGTGTTTGCCTATTATATGATCTAGCACTGGCCCATCATTTTAATTGTATTTTCAAAATTTCCTATAACGTTTTCGCTGCTCTTTTACATTACTACTGCTTCCCGTAGTTGGTTATGATTTAATGGTCATTAAATAATGAATAAATGTTGTGTAATAAATGGTGATTCCTTATCGAGCACTACTTCGTGGGTCCGTGCATTTCTCGATATAAATTTGCGTTCATTATACCAGTCATCAAACTCAAGGTTCTCAACTAGTGTCAACTTTCTATATAGAGCATATTAACAATGACTCGTCAAAAATAATCACGGTAAAAGCTCAATAATAAACATATAGTATTAGAATACTATTAGTACGTTCAAAGTAAGTTTTTTGGAATTCCTTGCACAATTAAAATGATGGGCCAGTGCTAAATTATATAATTGGCAAACACGTAGTGACTTATGTACTTGGCCTTAATAATATGATTTTAATACTTTTTATTAGAGGAATTCACAGCACTTCTGTACTTGGCGTAGTTTTTTACGTGTAAGTGTTTTTTTGGGGGATTCCTATATCTATGCTTCACACACAAAATAACGTAATGACGTAACCATAGAACTTATATTCATGGAAGAGGAATAGCGCTATTAAAAGTGGCCCCAATATGTTGAAACAGAGATATATCTCTTTCTGTCTTCGTAGCATGAATACTGAAGGAATTCGATTGGAGGCAGCCGTTGTTATGATGTAGTGCGCGCGTGCGCAGTCAGAGTAACTGAACGTTACGAACGAAAAGAGAGATAATATCTCTGTCTCAACATGTAGGGGCCTCTTTCCGCTCACTGCTAGAGTGGGCTACTCCTCTTCCAGGATCATAAGTTCTATGGACGTAAGACGTAAGCGTAAGTTACGTCTTACCTCGTTACGTTATTTTGTGTGTGAAGGACTTCAGTGCCTGAAACTTCGTACATTAAAGTTTGTCAGTGTCTGAGATCTGATTGTAAATGAAAAGTTTTAAGTCACCATTTTCCCTTTATTTTTTCAAGAAACACCTTTTTTCATGTTGTATCTTTTAATTTTCATTTTAGTTCTTTCGTTAGCTGTAAAAACGTGTAGAAAAGAAAGAAATCGGCGATATGCATTTCTGCATTTTAAAAGGCTACATTTACTTAGAGAATCGAAAAAAAGTCAAATTTCGGAATTATTTTTCTGAGAAACAATTGGCGAAAATAAAACGCGTTTTTTGAAACAAAAAAGTACATGTATTGAGAGTGTTACGTAGGCCGTAGTGGCTAGCGAGGCCTTTAAATTTGATAACAAAAATTTAGAATTAACCAAAAGAAAAGGAACGAACAGAGGTAACGTGAATAATATTTGAGTGAATTCCGAGCGGTAAGAATGCACTTAATGGAGGGTTCGCTGGTCCTTTAAGGTGTTGAAACACGCCTTGCTATTCCAACGTGGATAGATATTCCCTAAAATGTTTAAGGATGGGTAATAGATATTTAAGACGCGAGGAAAATGTGAATTTACGATATATTGTTACAGATGATTTGGTGGTTTTCAATTGAATATTATTGTATATAGTGTTTCGGTTATGAGAAGTACTGGGATAAAAATCGTGAAATTGAATTACAAAACCTGACTGTATGTGAGGTTAAGGCGAAAAGAAATTTGGTGGAAGAGAAAATTATCTAGTATATGTGTTACTTGGAAAGACTAGTCTATGCAGCTCAATTTTGCCCGGTAACCGATCCAGCTTGTTCCCTAGGGTATGTAGTAACGAATCCGTACCTAGCCCAGATTCCGAATATTACACTGAATCTAATACTCTAACGGTTAGAGCCACGAGTGATAATGTGCAGTCCGATCTTTGCGTGTAAAACTAAATGATTTTCTGAGCGTCAGTACCATGATTTTGTCCGCTTATAAAGGGTTTCCCAGAACTACTTTTGGACCGGAAAGTGGGCGATGGCTGGAGGTGCCCTGAGCACCCTCCCGCAAACCGTTTGCCAAAATTCGCAATAGTTTTTAAATGAGAAGCATTTAAGTGGGACCAATCAGAACGAAGGATTTCCGCGGGTCATAGCAGCTTGGTGGGAGGTATACTCACGGATGCCAAAGATAGCTGTTTTGCAATAGCTTTCCACAAATTCCGCGCTTAGCAATTGTTTCACAGGCCGAGCGAGCGTCACTAGGATTCGTTGACAAACTACCGATATAGGCATGGGCGTGTCTTAGCTTAGACTGGTGCAGCAGCTACACGTACAACTCGGCCTGTGAAACAATTGCCAAGCGCGGAATTTGTGGAAAGCTATTGCAAAGCAGCTATCTTTGGCATCTGTGAGTGTACTTCCCGCCACGCTGCTATGACCCGTTCGAAATGAAATCCTTCGTTCTGATTGGTCCCACTTAAATGCTTCTCATTTAAAAATTATTGCGAATTTTGGTAGACGGTTTGCGGGAGGGTACTCAGGGCACCTCCAGCCATCGCCCACTTTCCGGTCCAAAAGTAGTTCTGGGACACCCTGTATAGTCGTTTTTTGCTAATGCTCTAGGTATGGTTAGGATCTTAGGAATGCACTCAACTAAGCAGCTGGGTAGGTGACGCAGGCAGTGCACTGGGTAACGTGCTGAGTCTGCAATTATATTGACTGCCGGCAGTAGTAATAGATCCGTTATAGCGAGACCTGGGGGCGTGGTTAAGTGGGGGTGGGGGTGAGTCCCAAAAGTATTACGGTCAAAATTTTTCGTTTCAAACTCGACGCCCCCAAAAATTTAGCGAATGACATTTTTCGTTTCAAACTCGACGCCCCCAAAAATTTAGCGAATGAGGGAAACGACGCTTCTTATAGGGCTAGAGCATCATCCCCACTCTCTATCCACCATCCCTATATAATAATAGAAACTGGTAGCAATACGAAATATTAAAAATATTTTCTTAGTATTTAACCTCAACACTTTGAAAAACTTTACAGTTTTCTAGTACGTTTGATTGTGTTAAGTTATGGATCCCCGCTGGGTTCACCCGTGGTCGGCCATTGTGGCAGGACCTAGTTCATGCGGAAAAAGCTATTTCGTTAAAAACTTTATAAATTACAATTCAAAAATGGGAAGTGGTAATTTTTCTGTATGAAAACTAAACGGCAAAAATAAATTCAGACAAAACGATATGTCGGAAAGTAAAAAGGAAAATTAAAAGACAAGCCGACATCTTGATAAAAAAGGCGCCATCCAGTCGCTGAGACATTTTTTGTGCAACGAAAATTTTCTGAAATCTTGGAGAAGAACTGCAACGAATGGCTAGGATTTCTGGAGCCTTCACATTTCAGCCAGACACAGTTGTAAAGTCGGTTGATATCCATTGTGAATATCTAGTCCCAAGACGACACGTTTCTGACTGTTTAAGTTGTATACAGTTTGCATCATCAGCAATGGTGATGGTTTTGGAACAGGTGGCGATGTAGATGTAGAAGGCGTGGCATTCACACCCACAGATCTTTTAAGCGGCATCCTGTTTTCTCCTTCGTTAAGTGCTACCTTTTTTCGTTTACAACCGCCTTCGTTTTCCTTATTTTTCCTCTTCCCATTTTCCACG